TCTTGATATTTCTAGCTACAAAATCATTCAGTTCATATTTTGTAACCCTACAGATTTGTTTGTTAACTAAAAAAGTTTCCAACAACACTTAATAAACAGAGTGCCAGCAAACCAGGCCGAACAAGTTTATTTTGACGTCTACACAGAGAACAATGTATTGTGCAACACAAAATTAGACAAGTGTATAACAGCGAGATGAAAAGTAATGCCGAAATAGTGATGACAAGTTTAGAGTTAACTTTTTCATTCTTATGTTTACACCATGAAGTCACTGACAGGTGGACTGAGTCATGTTGGTAGATGTAGGCTACCTGGTTGGGGTCTGCGAGACGATAGTCACCAATGGTTAGAGACCTTGAATGACATGGCTCAAAATCGTTTGCAGTGACGCAGATGCATCCGCTCTTTGTGTTCTCTCTAATTCTAACCTTCTGAATTCCTCATAATCCCTATCTTTCTCCTTCTAAATTTATCTCACTGAATTATACTTATCGAATCAACAAAAATGGTATAAACCGACAATCACAATGACGCTATCAGTCAGTTAGTCAGGCAATGATAATGTAGAACTTCGTATGTACATACATCAGTTCTAATTGCCATACCACATTAGTACAAAGGTGAAATTGTCAATTCAAATCCCATAATGGTAGAATTAGTAGAATTATTAGCGGTAATCCAAAAGATTAGGGTTCGAAGAAATTATTCAAGAAGTATAATTCAGTGAAAAAAAAGTTTAGAAAAAGAAGGCTAGAAGAGATGAGGTGGGGATTAAATCGTTTTATCCGTAAAGTTCACACTCTGGTAAATCTCACGATACATTTAAAAACAAACAATCCCATTTAAACTTTGGGTTTAACTCCACCTGGAGCCTTTCTAGGGTTACTGCCTGTTCCAAGCCCAGAGAAAGCAGGAAGGTTGGGCATGGGGTTAACAATCCCATCGCGCATAAAACGAACTCACTGAAAAAACGTTATCTATAGAAAATAATTCAAACCATTTATACTCTTTCCTAACAGTTGATAAAGTTTTATTTAGAAGAGGAATGACGCATAGTGGTGAAAGCCAAGTTTTGTCAGAAGTCACGAAACTGATGCCTCTTTTCACAACCAGAACATCCATTACTAGAGGTACATGAAACGTTTACACAGTATGGGAAGTTGAAAGAGTGATTTAAGTGGCTGAAGAAATGAAAAGATACAACGTGATGGTACTTGGAGTCCGTGAAACACATTGGACGCAGGTTGGACAAAAAAGGTGCTTTTATACTCTGGCCATGAAAAAAGAAAATGCCTCACATACATAAGGTGTCGCACTGATGCTGTCCAAACAGGCACAAAAAGCACCTTTAGAATGGGAATCTCATGGACCCAGGATCATTAAAGCACCATTCAAAATAAAGAAAGAAGGGATTACAATGAATTTCATTAATTTCTGTGAGCCTATCAACGATATAAACGAGGACTATGAAGGATAGGCTATAGCCAATCATCGGAAAGTGTCTAACAAAGGACCAGACTATTCTGATTTTTAGAATGACCAACACTTGTTATGAAGATATCATGGGGTGACAAGGACTTAGAGGAGGGAACAAAAAGGGTAAACTTATGTGTCTTCAACAAAATGATCGTAGCAGCACCAAATTCCCACACAAATGCATACAAAAAGCTATATAGGTTTCATCGGATCACACTATGTCGAACCAGATCGATCACATCTGCATCAGTAAAATGTTCAGAAAGACTCTGGAGGACGTAAGAACTAAGAGAAGAGCTGACATAGCTCAGATCAGCACCCAGTGGCGGCCGATATGAAACTTAAGCTACAGAAGAATTGGACAACTGGTCAAACGATATCACAAAAGTTTAATATGGCTTTCATTCGGGATACTAGCAAACTCAACCAATCCAAGGTAGCTCTCAACAATAAGTTGCAAACCTTTCACAAACCACTCAATAAGGGGGAAGCTAGGATGAGGTAACTTCAGTATGTCATTAGGTTTTGAGCCACAAGTAACACCATCACAAGGAATGGATCACTGATTTTATTATGATTAGGACTTAAGAAAGTAAGAACAAGAAGACAGCAATCAATAAGATTCAAACAAGGGCGAAAAATGCCAAGGCACTGCTCAAATATACGGAAGCAAACAAGCAAGCAAAGAGGAGCATTAAGGCCGATAAACATAAATATGTACAAGACCATGGAATAATAGAGGAAAAAGCTGCAAGGGAAGCAAATATGAGACAACCCATATGATACGACGAGAAAGCTAGCTGACAAGTACAGTAAACCAGAACAACCGGTCCAGAACAAATAAGTTAGATTAGTCACTGACACTGAGGAACTCTTGAATATATCGACCCCACTCAACCCACTTAGCACCAAAGCAGCACCTACGGACTTTTCGAATTATGATGACCCACCAACGATTGAAAAACTAGCATGACCATCAACAAATCAAAAGTGGTAAAGCACTAAAACCATACAACATACACTTAAAGCAGACACAGAAGTAACTACAAAGATACTCCACACTATCTTCAGCAAAATTTGGAGGTAGTAACAAGTCCCGACAGACTGGAAAGAAGGACACGTCATCAGGATACCAAAGAAGTAGATCTCAGCAAGTGTGAGAACCACAGAGGTATCGCTATACTTTCAAGACTAGGAGAATTCTTCAACAGAGTATTGTTAGACAGAATGAAAGATCCAGTAGACATCCAACTTTGATATCAGTAGATCGTGTACCGCCCAAATATCACTTGATAATACGGATCATTATGGAACAATCAATTTAACGTAACTCACAATTACGCATCAACTTACTTGACTACAAAAAAGCATTTGACAGAATGAACAGGATGACACTATGGAGGCTTCTTCCGCACTACGGTGAATGTAGGAAGATATTCAACATCATACGGAATTTCTATGATGGACTACACTGCGAAATTATGCATGGAATATAGCCATAGATCCATTTTAAGTAAATAATGGTATCTGACATGGTTGATTATTCTCACTCTTCTTCTTTCTTCTGGTTGTTGCCTGGACTGTAAGGACCCAAAAACCTCAGGGGAATAACGGAACAATGTGCAGACCGGATGCAGCTGGACGATATGGACTTCTCAGATGATCTGATTCTCCTATCCCATACACAACAGCAAATTCGGAAGAAGATGGTCAGTGTAACAGTAGCCTCTGCAGCAACAAGTCTCAATATACACAAGAGGAAAAGCAAGGTCCTTCGATACAACATAACATATACCAACCAAGTCAAGCATGATGGAAAAGCGGTGGAATATGTGGAAACCTTTGCATACCTGATCAGCATCGCTGACAAACACGATGGATCTTATGCACATAGGAAGGCACGGATTATCAAAGAAAGGGCAGTATTTCTACAACTGAATAACATCCAAGACTCAAAACAACCATCGAACAACACGGGAGTCAAATTTTTCAGTACGAACGTCAAAACTGTTCTATTGTATAAAGTATAAACTTGGAGAACAAAGAGATACATGTGTTTATCCAAAGTTGTCTACGCAAGATAATGTGAATATGATAGCCAGATAGTATCAGAAAAATCCTACCTTGGGAGAGAACAAACCAGCTTCCAGCTGAGCAAGAAGCCGAGAAAAAGCGCTAGAGGTGGATTGGACAAACTTTGTGGGAATCTTTAAACTGTTATGGAATCCTAATGTTTAAAATAAAAGTATTAGGCCAAAGGAATACACTGCGCTGAGGATCGGAGACAAATATTAAACGATTAAGCACAAATTGGGTCACGCTAAAAAGAAAGATTGAGAACAGAATTGATTGGGGAGCGCTGGTAGGTGGCCTGCGCTCAATTAAGAGGAAACAGGCTTAAGTAAGTAATGAAACTATAGGTTTAGAAATTTCCCGTAGGGAAAGATGAAGTGCGATTAGGTCAACATAAACGTGAAAACACTATTTCACTGTGTGTAGTATTTGTTCAACAAACCAAATAAACCCACTAAAGCTACGTTAGAAATAACAAATACTAAACCTTGTAGTAGTTGGTAGAAAACTGCAAAGCACACATCAAAAACGAATTTTAGAAGATACAAGTAAGGGAACAATAATAATCTAAGGAATAATCCTGCTTAATACATTGTCCTTTGAACCTCGAAAAAAATCTGAATGGTTTTAGATTGTTTTGCCTAGCTAAGGAGTGTTTTATAAATTGCATTTCCAATACTGTCTTGATCAGCACAAAGTATACTAGATACTGGCAGCATATAAATGCTGAATACTAATCAAGCAATTACTAAAATCGTTGAACTAGACCGGCAATAAAACCGTGAAGTTTTTGAGCAAGTAAACAAAATTAAAGCTTTCTACCAAGTTAAGGGTTGAAATTATATACGTATGTGTAAGTGCGGCTTCTGTAACTATCAGACCGCTGACTGATATCCTCCCAGAATCACTTGGAATCCTATTACGAAAACCCTTCGTCATGTTGTCTTTTATCAGAAAGAACATAGCTTTTTGGGATAATTTTAGATAGAAGTGATAAAACGATGCTTGGATGCATAAAGAACCGTACTAATCTGGCTAGAACCGAAACGATACTAGAATAGAAACCATACGCTACTACAGTGACTATGAGCCTCTTCACTCAAAAGGGTCATAATTGGGCATTAAAACTAAATTTCATTTAAAAAGATATCCTCATCATAACAGAGCAATATGTACAAAACGTAGTTCGAGTCTACGAACCCAGGAAATAGCAATGAAATTTTTGGTCATTCTGGTTGAACAATAATTCAACGCTTCCATTATTCTCATTGGCAGTGATATAAGTTATTCAAGGTTTCCCCACGTGGTCAATTGTTTTTTTTGTTGATATTTTATTACTTCAACTTTATTAAGGATTAAAGCAAGAATGACACATCTTCCTCAATATAGATTCAAACTTAAAAGAGCCAGCATTCAAATATGTGCCTCAACAAAGTTTAGAAACTATTTACCTCGATTATGTTACCGTAATAGACCACAGATTCTTGTAAACGTCTTTGTGTTTTGCTTTCCTGTTCATTTGCACCCCCAGACTCCTCCTGTTGTTGATTATCAGATCGGAATTCAACTTACTATAAACTTGTCTGTTCGAAAGCATATCTCATTTTCTAAATCTGCATTTTTAGTTTGATATTTTTGCATAGCAAGTATAAAGAAACGACAATCTGGTGCGTAAGTGACTAAAACTACATGTTACCTCTTGACAATGACGTTGCAAAATTTTGTTTGCTGTTCAGTGGCATCACATTTGGCTTATTACTGATTTGACTGAGTTATTCACTAATCGAAAACAAATTTAACAACCAACCCTTCCATACATAGTAATCCACCATTTTCATTGTTTGAGTACAGAGTAACCTGATCTCCAAAGTGCAGTAATTCAACAGAACTTTCTTTTTCAGCCCCAAACATTATGAGCAACAAACGCCTAAGGTTCTGACTAACGTTTCTAAGGTGTTTTCGTGCTTATTCATAAAACCGCAACCATGAACAAAAAACAAAAGTTTTCCGATATTATGTCACCAGTTTATGTAAATTCACTTTTTTCTTCAGGCTTTCGCTATGATGTCACCAACTTATTTTTTATTTCACTTAAAATCAATCCCACGGAAGTTTGAGTTGTCTAGAGTAAGACTTTTCATTTTTGGAATTAGGCGTTCTCAAGCTTTGCGACAGTCGCCTGTTATATATAGTGTCATTAAAAGGCATAGAAGGAATGCTGTTTAGAACATCAGAAGAACTTAAATGACGGAAAGACTGTGGAGTAGGAAGCAAAATAGTTAATGCAATACATTGTAACCCCGCAAGATCGTTTTCACGTTTAGTCATACTTATCGTATAAATGAGTAGGAGTGGACTGATTTGCAGATACCGTTAATCGACGGTTCTAGGCAATATAAATAACTAGCTCTTTAATTTCGGAATCAACTCGAATTTTTCTCGTGCAATAGGATATCCAGATAGGACCATGCTGAGTTCACTTCTGGAAAATATGCTCCTCTTAGTTCAGATATACGACATTCTAAGATATTTATATCCTAAAATGTAACGCTTTGCTCATGCTGTGAAGCTTTAGGGAGATGCTCACAGTCAGAAGGATAAGCTAGTACTGCGGTAAGATCAGATACTACTTCAAAGTTGGACGATGTCCTAAGTCTGGTTTTTCCCCACAGAACAAAATGTATTTCAAGCGTGAGATAAAGCTAGTCACGCATGGAAAATATTAAATTGCTTTTGTAGTGACAGTACTTCTTAACCGCAAAATCGTTTCATTAAGGTAACTAATGAAACTTTCATTGACCGCTGAGCACTTGGAGAAGATCAGAAGTAGTGCGGGCGGGAGCATTTAACCAGGAAATCATGGTTCCGTCATATGGGCCTATTCATTAGACAAAACCACTCCCTTTCTGTGTAATATACACTATGCCAACCACAGCCCAAACGGGTTCTTCAGAAGTACCAAAAAGCATACTTCTAACAGCTGCGATAGAACCAGACAATATAGATAATAATATGACTTCGAGCTAAGATCCTTAGTTAGATGGCCACATTATGGCCATGGTCCTGGTAGCACAGATAAGTGTATAATTATTGGCTTAGGCCTTAAATCTATCCCATGAATTAAAGTACGGAAACACAATACTTTCCTCTCTGATTGCAAGGTTAAACGATTACATTAGAATGTATCCAAAAAAACCAGGAATTCATTAGAGGGTCTTCAGTATACTTTTCTGTATACACTTGTAACAGTATATCCTTTCCTCTTGGAATATAATACTCTCTAAGACAGCCTTTTTATGACTTATGAGATCATGAATATTCATGGTCACTCTCTTGGACCGTTAATTAAGTGCACCCCTAACATTAACAGGAATACTCAGAAGTATGTGGTGCAACATAGCAAGTACTATCATAAACACGCCATCTACTCATGACTGAAATGATGTCCTAAGTATGTTTCGAGAGGAAAGTCAATGTGTTTTGGGACTCGAAACAGCACCTCACTTTCATATGCTTTTTACCCTCCCTGTTTATAGGTCACCACCTCCAGATGTTGACGTCTTCATAATCCAGTCGATTACCAGGAGAACGAGAAACGTTAAGAGTAAGTAACCTTGCCTGACAACGGTCTTCACCTCGAACGAATTTGTCAGCTGTCCTCCGTAAACGAGTTTGCAGTTCAATCCATCGTAAGGATTCCGTATGGTGTTGTCTATCTTCTCAGGCACGCTATCTTTTTTCGTTGCTTCTGCTAGAATGTTGTCTGGTCCTGCTGTTTTGCCGCTCTTGATTTGTCTGATGGCCATGCTGATACCCTCAACTGTTGGTGGGCCAACATTGACAGATAGACCCGTGGATGTTGCTTCAATGATGAATGAGTTTAGTGAGGCTTCTGGATTCAAGAGATCCTTAAACTGCTCCACCCACCTGTTTTGCTTTTCTTCAATGTTGATGATTACTTTGCCTTCCTTGTTTTTCACTGGTCGTTCTGGTTTACGATAGTATTCAGTGAGCTTGTTTGTTATATGATACAAACGTCTAAAGATTCCCTCACTTGCAGCCTTTTCCACCGTCATTGCTAGATCTTCCACATATTTTCGTTTGTCAGCTCTGATGCCCTTCTTCACTTCCCTGTTTGCTTCTGTGTATGCAGCTTATGCCTTAACTTTCTCTGCTCTTGTTTGGCTGACATTAATTGCTGCCCTCTTGTTCCTCCTTTCTTCAATTTTTGCAAGAGCACCAACAGATATCCAATTCTTTTGATGGTACTTCTTGTGACCCAGAATTTCGTGACATGAAGTGATTGCCTCCTTGATCCACTTCCAGTTGTTCTCCAATGTTGCTTCCTCTCCATTGAGTAGATCCTGCGAGGCCTGGGACCTATTGGTGAGGGTTATCTTGAATTCTCTGAGTTTTACGGTATCCCGAAGAAAGGCTGTATTAAAATTCTGTGATGTTGTCTGCCCTGTTACTCGGTGCTTATTTAGTTTCAGTCTCATTTTGGTGACCAGCAAGTGGTGGTCTGACACTTTGTCAGCTCCTCTCTTGGTTCTCACGTCCTCCGTGGTCCTTGTGAACTTTTTGTTGATGCAGATATCGTCGATTTGGTTCTAAGTAGTGTGATCCGGTGAAATCCTTTTAGCTTTGTGTATGCGTTTGTGTAGGAATATTGTGCCACCGATGACCAGTTTGCTGAAGGTAAGTAGGTTCGTTCCTTTCTCCTGTCCCTGTTGTCATATGATATCTTCATGTTCAGTATTGACCGTGCCAGCTTTGGCATCTAGGTCTTCCATCGTCAAATCCTTTGACAATCATCTGTTGACGACTTTCTGCAGCCCCTCATATATTTGTTGACTGTATTCCAGATTTTCACCGGTTAGTTCACTGAAATAGCCACCATTTCGGGATAGAATTCATCCCTCCTGACTATTAGATTAATGTGCTTCTCTAAAAAACTTTAATCAATCATCTTCTGAATTAATTAGCACGTAAAGTTATGTGTGATTCTGATGTTTTCATGCAATAATTATCTTGTAGTTGATGGTTCACCTTTGGAGAGGAAGCGCGTTCCATTTGACCTTTCCCAACAAATTCACTATTGATCTCGGCAAATCGCCAAAAGAACCTATTGTGCACCTTCCTTATTTGTACTCTACTATTGAAAATGTGGCTGTATTATACTGTTTCTGTCAGTGACATGGTGTAAATATGCTATCAGAAACTGACTCTTATATTTCATTTAACTGCTATAACTTTTACAGTAACCCTGAAAGCATTTGTGACAATTTGATCTAGCCTATAAACTGGCGTGACTCTTGAAACGTAGTTATTTGAAAATAAATATATTATTATTATTACTTGATATGTCCTTAGTCCTGCGTACGTTCTGGCTGTATGCACATGATTAAAAACTTTCCTGGCCTTGTTCGTATAATTAACATCACCTGGTTCCTGAGTTACTTTGGAGTTTGCTACATGTCTTGATGGGCCATCGATTAACATATGAACCCCTATATGAGTGCTTTAGCCAAAGTTCTGGAAATCAAGCGGATGTGTTCTATTTCTCTTTGCTTCTATGAAAAACCACTGGCGGTCGTGGACGACAATTCAGTCAAACTGGAAATCCTGTTACACCATTTCTCCTCTGTATTTTCAGATGGTGCAAATAAGTGGACAGCTAGTAATTTCCCAAAGTTCCCTGCCTATGGGTTTCGCACTCGCTTGGAAAATTTCACCAGTAAATACTTAAGGGCAGGTAGCTCTAGTAGGAAGTCCAAGAATGATGAATGTATATCAATAATGAGAAGCCCTACAATTAGTCTTCGAATACTGCTGTAAGAAAAATGTCTCAGTCAGTATAAGTCTACTTATCTACACTACCAGAATAATAGACCCATTCCTCAACTACAGACTTGTTATTAAAACAGTAAGTAGGAAATATGCCAGATCCCAAATCGCGCTCACTAATCCAGTAACTTCAATAGGCCAGTTGTCGAGAGAGCTGCCATGTTTACACGACCGATTTCCCTCAACCGTGCTAACGTTGCAATTTTTGCTGACACAGTCGCTGTTAGTATCATATTTCAATTCTTTCTAATTATTAGCTCAACCACGGGCTCGCTGTATGCCAGTAAACGTCTACCTACGAAACGGGGCCAAGTGCAGTGCTTCAGGGTTCACTTCTGATGCCAGTCTTATTTCTCCTGTAAGCCTTTGATCTTATTCGTTTCTTATCACAAAAGATCCTGATATGCGCGGACGATATAAAGTGGTAACATTTTTTCACGTGGTATAGTTTTCTTCGGAAATTTATCATTCGCAGGGTATTATACTGATTTACTGAAATTATCTATTATATACGGTGGAGTTTGCCCATAGAAAGCAGACTTTCAGAGTTTTTAATCAGTTAGCGCATATTTGTCGTAGAATAGCATTCCGAAATACTATATATAATAATACTGTATATAATACCATACATAACGTTCCTAACTTCTGAATACACTTTTTTAAACCTGCTTATCGACTCACAGTAGTTCTTAAACTTAATAACGGAACGTCCTATACACAAAATCTCCCTCTACCTTCACTGGTCTTAGTATTAATCCAATTAATACGCAACAAGTTATAGCCTTATATATATGCATTAATTAGAAAGCTATTATCACACTCAGCTTTCCATCATGACCGATAATTTGAGTTCAAGAGAAATGTCTCTAACTTCTAAACCACTCAAAAGATCAGAATCACCAAACTCTATGAGGGAGGGTGGTGTATCTGACCAGCATTCATGACGGTGGGGCGGTAACATCAATCTTCCCATGTCTGTGTGGCAGAACATTTTGTTTGCTTGTGGCTCCTTACCATATAGCGGGATGTAACAAATCAGTGATATTGATGTTACTTTTCCTTGT